ACCCCCACTTCAGATTATATCTAGTGGGCCCCCAGATTACTCATGCTTCCATCCTACTTGGCTACTGTGATGGCTACTCCCGGTTGTCAGCTAGCCTATATCTGAAATGAACTACAGTCCAGAAGTGGAATGTGGAGTGGTGGACTGTGAGAAGCAGCTGGGCGCCTGGTCGAGCATAAGCCTCGAACCCTGAACCCTAATCGTTCGGCAGGTGTTCGGCTCTGCTCTCGGGCCCTGGTTCTTTTCATTTAGCTTCAGCCCTCCACATCTCCTCCCACAGAGAGGTCTATGGCCATCAGTCATGAGGAACAGTGCCTCAGGCTCTCCCACATGTAGATGAAGTATCTCCAAGCTCTCAGACCAAGCCAATAGGCGTTATCTACTGCCAGACCCTAACCCACCCTGAAACTGTATATACTGGCTCTATTCAGGAGAAGTAAAGGTGTGCAAGAATCATCCCGGTGTCTGAGAGTTTCTGTTTGCAAGAGCTGTGATACTTGGGAAGAGATCTGCTCTCCCAGAACCTGCCTGGGACACCAAGCTGCCTCCTTGACAGCTAGCCGGATTCTTGGAGGCCCAGCCTGGGCCGGCTCAGTGCAGTGAGACAGGTGCAGCACCTGGGAGTGACCAGGCAGTGACAGCGGAGACATGCCTTTGTTCTGGATCAACATGAGATTTTAATCCAGATCTTGGGGCATAGTGGACATGCTTATAATGATCTATAATGAAAAGGAATTAGGGGAAATTTTAGGTCCTGTGTGGTAGTACACACCTTTAGTCCCAGCACTTAGAAGACAGAGGTATGCAAGATCTCTGAGTTCAAGGTAAGCCTGGTCTACAGAGCAAGTCCCAAGACATCCAAGCTTAGGCAGTGAAGGAAACGATCAAAACCAGACAGCTGGTGAAGATCTAATTGAACAACGGGGCCATATTCCAGCCCCAGCAAGCAGCAGAACATGGGAGCTTTGGCCATGTGTTTCTGGTTTTAGAGTCAAGAAATCTCTCTCTGTAATTAAGTTGCTGAGGCCTGATGTGTGACAGGGGTGTCCTGCATGGAGGCCCAGAGAGGTCATTGCATGTAGCTGTGAAGGTGAAGCCTGGATTGCCTTGGAGACCCTAAAATGTTAGAGATGCCATGCCAAAGAAAGTTGATAGTAGAACCAGCACAAAAGAAAGTGGTGTGTTGCAGTCAACAAAGCTAAAAGGGGTTGGAGATCTGAAGAGCATTTTGACATCAGACATGAAGATGCAAAGTTTGGAGTTTATCCAGCTGGCATTTCCTCACTGTGCTCCTTCCTTACATTTTGGAATAGTAATGTATATCCCGTGCTATTGTATGTTGGAAGTATGAGATCTGCTTCTTTTGATTTTGATATTATAGGGGATTGTATTTCAGAGATGGCATGAATCTCAGAAGAGACTGTTAACTTTGGATTTTTTAACATTGGATTTTTAACATTGTTGAGACTGTGATAGGCTACGGGGACTTTTGAAGTTGGACTAAATGCATTTTGCATTATGTTGTGGATATAACCTATGGGGGCCAGGGAGTAGAATGTGCTGGTTTGAACAGGAGTGGCCTCCATAGACCCATGTGTCTGAATGCTGGGCAATAGGGATTGGCACTATTAGGAGATGTGGTCTTGTTTGAAGAAATGTTTCAATGTGGAGGCAGGACTTTAAAGTCTTAAATACTATGCCCCATGTCTCCACCCTGGCTGCCTTCAGATCAAGAGGTAGAACTGTCAATTCCTGCAGCACCATGTCTGCCTGTCTGCCTGCATGCTGCCATGCCTCGAACCATGGTTATTATCAACTGAACCTCTAAAACTGTAAGCAAACACCAATGAAATGTTTTCCTTTGTAAGAGTTGCCTTGGTCATATTATCTATTCACAGCAAGGAAACACTAAGACAGCTACAAATCGAAGTTCCTATAACCTATTATGGTTAGCTTTAATAGTAACTGGCCACAGATTAATTACCTGAAGTGTCAGGAGCAGCCTTGCTTATACAGTGAAGGCCTAAAATCAGCAATAAGCCTGAGTCAGTCATACATGCCTGCTAACACAAAATCTTGGTCTCTGTGGAAAAACACTGACCCTAGAACAGATAACTATAGATCTTGTAAAAAGGCAGCCTTGGTGGAAAACTACCAGCCTGGATAGTCATAGACCTTATGGATAGGTAGCCTTGGTGGAAAGTACCAGCTTAGATAAAAGCAAGTGAATCATAGACAGTCATAGTGACCTGTTCCCTGCTTCTTCACCCAGCCAATACTCTGTTCTGGAAGGTATCTGTACTCCCCCTGAGAACACCTACGCTCCTTCCCCTTCCCCATATCCTGCCTTTTTGTGTATATAACCCGTGTGAAAAAATTAAAATCAGAGGTTTGATCAGACTCTAGACAAACCATCCTCCTTTGTGTTCACCTGCTCCCCCATTCTTTCTTTCAGGTAATCCCCCTGGACCCTGTTCACTGCCCTGCTGAACAAGGCACTGAAGAACTCTCCTGATTGCCCTGACTGATGTGAGAAAGTCCACCCGGGCAGCACCTTCTGCTAGTAGTCCTGATATAAAAAGGATGTCAGCAAGAACATCATCTTGCCTTTTGCTCAGCTTATCTTCTCTCTTGCCACTAAACTGATTTGTTGCTGCTGCTGCTGCTTCCTTCACCAGCATTTCCAAGTGTACATCATGGACTAGGGACCAGTAGCTCTTGGCAGATTGGACTACTGAGACACCCCAGCTTGTAGACTAACTACCGATGTTGTTTCTTCATTCATTCTGTAGGACCACTCTGACCATTGAAGCAACCAGCTTCAAGAACTGAATAACTGTTGGCTTCACAGCTTCTCTGGTGTGATTTAGCTGTAATATCTATTTTAAACTTTAAAACCTATTGTTATATGGAATTAATTAAAGTACCCAGCCTAGCTAATTCCAGTTTGTGCTCAGACTCCATCTTATGCCCAGCATGTCCTTAGTTTGAACTTAGTAACCGGAAAGACCACGACTTGTTCCAGGAACTAAGACAACCACAAGCAACAGCCACTCTACCCTCAGCACCAGGAAATGCCCAATGACTTGGGCAATGACTCAAGTTAACCACAATTGCACTTAGCAAGTTAAAATTTTCACTAGCTAAGCTATAATTTGTGCAAGCATAATTTTTGAAATGTCAACCAATCATGTAACTGTTAAGTGGGAAAGCCCCTTGCCCTGCTTAAACTGTATAAAAAGACAAGGCCGACACCAGCTCACCATCTTCCATACCTATCCACTGCATTGAGAGGTTGGTGAGGTCCAAGCCGGATCTTGAATAAAGACTCCTCCTGGTGGTCTTTAGTGATCTGTGGGGGCCCAACGGCCTGGGTGTAACATTAAAAAATTCATATATGTATTTTTTCATCCCACTGGTTCTGTTCCTCTAGAGAATCCTGACTAATATAACCCCCTAGTTAGGAGTTTGGTAATTCTGCTAGGACAACTTTTAAAAAGCAGGCAAGCAGTGGACTTGGCTTTAAGTACTGTGATGGTTTGTATGTTTGGGCCAGGGAGTGGCACTATTTGGAGGTGTGGCCTTGTTGGAGTAGGTGTGTTACTGTGGGTATGGGCTTTAAGACCCTCATCCTAGCTGCCTGGAAGTCAGTATTCTACTAGCAGCCTTCAGGAGAAGATGTAGACTCTCAGCTCTAGCTGCACCATGCCTGGATGCTGCCATGCTCCTGCCTTAATGATAATAGACTGAACCTCTGAATCTGTAAGCCAGCCCCAATTAAGTGTTATCTTTATAAGAGCTGCCTTGGTCATGTGTCTGTTCACAGCAGTGAAACTCTAAGGCAAGTACATACCGAGGGTATCATAAAGCACATCAGTCAGTAACTGGATGAAGAGCCTGCCTTAAAGGTCTCCAGCACAGGAACATCCAGCCATGCAGAGTTGGGGTACACCACTTTCCTGGCACATCAATGTATTTTCCAATCTCCCCAAAGGTAAAGCTCTCACAGATAAAGACGAAGCATGTCGACATGATCAACCATCTCCAGCCCCAGCAAGCAGCAGAACTTGGCAGCTTTGGCCAAGTGGTCTTGACTTTAGAGTTAAGAAATCTCCCTCTGCAACTAAGTTGCTGAGGCCAGATGTGTAACAGGGGTGTCTCCCTCCCTCCCCGAGAGCTGGAGAATGGCTCCAAACTGCAACTTTCTAGTCATGGCTTAGTCTTTCTGGGTAACCAGTGCCCACCTTGAAGCCACCCAAGAATCACCTCACTAGAATCAGAGCAAAACATGTTCTGATTGGAGAAAATTTTCAAAGGTGTTTGAGAGCTACAGTTGAGCATTGGGGTCAACACAAGACACACCCTTATCACGTAGGACGTTTCAAGGATTTTTACAAACTCAGAACAAGGAACCAGGAGTGAAGTTGTAATACATATTGTACCATGACACGACAGCATCTCATTGTACTTCAGTACAGGTCAAAGCCTCCAGGCTCATACTGAATGCATTTTAGGCAAGCTGTAACGTTATGGGCACGTGGAAAAACAGTAATCAGAGCATGCCACAGAGGGCCTGAGCATCCTCCATTGTTCCCAACATGATACTTATGCTCATGGTATCTGTGCTTAACAGAACTAGTCATGCTTTCCATTGTATGCCTCGTGCAGAGGCTTGACAGGGCAGTGGCTGAAATATTTACTGAAAGGCAGTGATTTTTTACGTTAGCACACAAAGAAATGAGTCCCATTACTACACTTTTATATATCTTGTGGCATCGTGCTTGCTACCCCTCCCCTGGCTGGCTCCCAGATAATCCTTCCTTCTGGTCTCCTATCACAGTGGCCCAGTGCCTCTCTGTTCCCCTTCTCTCCGTACTTCTCAAGATCCTCCTTCTGGTCTCATGATGCTCACACTCTAACACACACACAGGTTCCACAGGAAACAGAATCTGTCTTGCTGACTTTGGCTTATTGTGTTTGTCATGAGCTCCAGCTTCAGCCACGTTCCTAAAGGCGATACATTTTGAAAATATATATGCTTTGTCCAAAGTTTTACTTCCGGAACAAACAAGGCCAGGAAATGAAGAAGACAGAAACATACATGAAATGTCGTGACTACTGTCTATACACTACTGCCCACCAGTTCCAAGTCTTCAAACCCTCAGGTTATGACATATCGGGTAAGTCCTCCCCCGCGGACCTCTGACAGTCTCTGGCAATGCCGCAGAATGTTCATGATCACATGGAACTTCTTGTCAACTTTCAAAGCTGTGAATTCTTTTATATCAGCTTCCACGATGAAGTGACGACCTGCAAAAAAAACCCCCGCAGGCTCTAATTGTCATGTGGCCAACTCTCCCATAAGTTCTTAAGACATCCCCTTGTGAACGCCTGAGTCCCTCTTACTGTCCCTCCAACTACAAAACAAGGAGAGCAATGGTATCCCTGCTAAAATAATTTTGCATCTGCACAGGCCACAAGACATCCTGCTGACATTGGTGCATGCTAACCGCCTACCTCCAGCTGATGTTGCTATGCGGTAACCGCCCACCCAGACATTCTGTGGAAACATTAGCCAAGGGAATCCACAACTCTATCAGATAACTAAAGGCCTCGGATGAGCCAGGAACTCTGTCCAGTCTGCAAAATGGAACAAGGGTATTGTGAGGACTGGAGCCTGGCAGCTGTAGAAGACTAACTGCTAGGGGCAGCAGTTTCTAGAATAGCTGCACTTCTCACTGTGATCCCCCAGCAGCTGCTGTCCTCAGAGGCCATCACTTTACCTTTCGTGTCCTTCGTTTCTTCATTAATAAACCTTTGGTAGAGATTTCTCTTCACAGAGCTCATAGATGCTTTTGGTTGATGTATAATCTTATATTTACTCACTACTGCTTTATTAATTTCCTTAATAACATCATTAATTTGACAATAAGTTAAGCGGGATTTCATGTACCTGTTTTTTGAAAAAAAGCATGTAGTTATTCTTTTTTTAGTTTAATTATTTATATTATAAATATATAAAAATATATTGTTTATTTAAAGATTTACTTCTGCTACTTTTTAAAGATAATATATAAAGATAATATATAGAGAAAATAAGATAAAATATAACATAAAACAGAAACATATTAGAATTAGACAAACAGAAAGAAGAGAGTCCAAGAATAGGCAGACGAACTAAAGACTCACTTGTTCACACACTCAAGAGTCCCCTAAAAACGCTAAACTGGAGGACACATATTTATGTGTGTGGTGGTTTGAATGGCACTCTTAGGAGGAAGTGGGTCACTGTCCTGGCAGGCTTTGAGGGCCACTAGTGCTCAAGCCTGCCACTGCAAGAAAGAGCATCCTGCTGGCTGCCTGCAGTCCCTTCCTCGCTGCCTCAGGATGTAGAACTCTTGGCTCCCCCAGGACCATGTCTGCCTACACACTGCCTTGTTTCCTGCCATAATAATGGACTGAACTTCTGAACCTGTAAGCCAACCCCAATTAACGATTTGCCTTTATAAGAGTTGCCTTGGTCATGGTGTCACTTCATAGCAATAAAACCCAAACTAAGACAATATATATGCAGAGGACCTGGTGAAGACCTGCACAAGCTTACTTAGTCTGTGTGTTCAAATGTGCTTTGATCATGTTGACTTAGAGGGCTTCGTTTTCTTGGTGCCCTCCATCCCCTCTGGCTCTTAAATTTCTACCTCCTCTTCTACAGGATTCCCTGAGACCTGAGGAGAGGGATTTTTTTTTTTAATTTTTATTTTATCTATGTGAGCACACTGTTGCTGTCTTCAGACACCAGGAGACGGAATCCAATCTTGTTACAGATGGTTGTGAGCCACCATGTGGTTGGTGGGAATTGAACTCAGGACCTTTGGAAGAACAGTCAGTGCTCTTAACCACTGAGCCATCTCTCCAGCCTGAGGAGAGGAATTTGATTGCTACATGTCATTTAGAGCTGAATGTTCTAATGTATGTAGTTATTCTTTAAAAATCACCACACAAACTTTTCCTTTGAAAAATATATTTCTTCCTTGATGACACTATTCCCTGCAAACTGTGAACACACCTAAAATGCAGAAGTTTCTACAAGTGGCAAGTATGAAACCACAAAGTGACAGTACAAGCTGGCCATGGGAGCACACACTTTTAATCTCAGGGCTTAGGAGGAGAGACTGATAGATCTCTCTGAGTTTGAGGCCAGCCTGGTCTACATAAGGACCAGTCAGGACTACATAGTGAGATCCTGACACACTTTCCAGCCTTTTTACTTCAACACACTACTAATCAAGATACATGACTGGTAAGTCATAAAGCTTGGTTGAATGTAGCTGGTCTTTGCTACTTCGTGGGTCCTTCTTTTTCCCACCCTTTACGCCCCTGCACTCCTGTTTCACCCCCTAACACTAGATAGAGAAAGAAGGATAGAGGGGAGAAAGAGATCCCTGAATCTAATTTTTTTCTTAACCACTCCTCCCAGTTTCCAGCCTAGCCTCTTCGAATGTTTCTCCCACCATTCCTCCCTCAGTTCGACAATGGTCCACTTAAACAGCCCCTCCTCCCAGTTCCCCAGTGTTAGCAGCAGGTCTATCTGTGTTCAGCTATCTGTGTGCAGCTAGTGTTCTCCTGGCTCAACTGTGTCCTAATGATACCTTCTGCACCAAGTGCCTTTCCACTCACTCTGCTAGCCCAATTCTCCTCACCTCTGCTGGCTTTTTAGTATCTGATCCTGTTCCCAGAAATCCAAGAGGTAATCAACACTTACCGTCATAGGGACAAGTAGTTCTAACAACTAAGAATTCTTAAGGAGCCAGTTGACTAGCAACTGGAATCCTTTAAAGGGCCAGGCGCATGAGATAAATTACACTAGAGTGGAATATTAGAATCTACACTCAGTACTTACGCAGGAACACCACTGAACTCGTCCGTAGTTATAAAGTGCATTTCCTTAATAACTCTCTGCTCTTTGGGAGGCTTCTTTGGCAGTGCAGGCTCCTCAACTTTAACTGACTCTTTAGGATCCAGATCTGGCTTGGGAACCCTATAGAGGAGATGAACATGCAGACAGGCAAGTGTCAGAATTAAGCAGCAGACTGAACATGTTTTTTAAACTGGGGGGAAACCTGTAAATGTGAGACCTATCCTTGTTTAATAATTTTATAGCCAACTTTTCTTTGTATCCCTACCCCTTAGTTATGAAGATATCAATTGAAAGAGGAATTTTGAAAATTAAATTCATAAATCTTCAGAGTACGGCTGTTTTCATGTATATATCTGACCATGTCACACACAGAATGTACACCACACACCTTCACCAGTGTTCCTATTTGCTTCTCAGAATCAACACATATAAAGCTGAGCTGAACTCCAAACAGCTTTTCTTCTTCGTTTCCCTAGCTCTGGATCTGGAAGCACCAGTCATCTTGTGTGTCCCCTAGTGTATTCTGTTAGTCGTTACTATTATGTCACTAGCTATTGAAGACTCAGCAAGAACCACGGGCCACCCTTGACCTTGTTCTATAGCAAATGGAGTCTAGAAATGCACTGTAGCTTTTAGGTTGTTTGACTGCCCAGACAGAAGAGACATCTGCTGCCATAATGCATGAACTATTCCAAGAAAAAAATACCAGATCAGGAAAATATAGATCCAACACAGAAAGAAGCAGAGGAATTCCCTGGAAAGACAACAGCTGGGGATCAGACCCCAAGCATAACAAACATAACAGGTTACTGTGGGCAGTCATAAAATTTGGACTCCTCTGTCTTGGCTATGCAGTGGAATTACAGCAGGAATTACAGTAGAAACAAAGTGATGGTGCCATATTTTAGTGAATGCCCACATGACCTCCATCACTAAACTGGCCAAATCGTCCCTGAACTTTCTCTTCTTGACCAAGAACTAAGGATATACCTGGTAACTCCCACATGCCCGGCTGTCTGTGTCCACTTCAACCTATTCAAAACTTCAGCTTTGACCTGGCTGGATCCCTGAAGCTGGGCAACGGCAGTCCTGTTATGCTGGCCACACTCCTCTGGCTATCCGCTGTCTAGCCCATTCTAGAGTCTGACTCATGACCTGAGGCCTCTTTTCTCTAATACTCAGCCGTGACTTGTTCAGCAGTGCTCTCTCCTTGTAGGGAAATCCTAAGCATTATCAAGGCCAGAACAGTGATTACCTCTACTGCAGAGGGAGGGGCTGCATCAGAAGGATTTTAAGGTACTAGTCTAAATTTAGCTCATATGTATATAGATACTGATTTACTATTTTTCAATTTTAACATACACCTCCATAATCACTTTTTTATATATATGCTATACTTCGAAAATTAAAAATTAAAAATCAAGCTATGGAACACTTGTACCTGCTGAAGCACCTGATAGAAACAATGCTGGTGTCAGGACTGGAGAGATGGGGTAGAGGTGGGAGTCCAGGAAAGGTGGAGGCACAACAGACAAACTCTTACAGACAAGAAGGATAGAGAGAAGATCTTATTCAGAGCCAGGCAATGTGAACAAGGCAGAGGAAAAGACACAAACCTGAGAGACATACTGGATAGCTGGTAGCCGAGAGAACAAAAAGCAGTGAAGACAGAAGATCCTGCCAAGGCAACACAAGCCATAGGTTTGCCTAGGCTAGGCAACACAAGCCATAGGTTTGCCTAGGCTAGGCAACACAAGACATAGGTTTGCCTAAGCAACACAACACATAGGTTTGCCTAGGCTAGGCAATATAAGACACAGGTTTGCCTAGGCAATACAAGACATAGGTTTGCCTAGGCTAGGCAATACAAGACATAGGTTTGCCTAGGCAACAAAACCCCATAGGTTGGATACATGGGTAACAAAAGAGCCACTGAGTTCAGCCTTGGACCTGCCAACTTTGAGAGAAAACATCTCTCTCACCAGATTTCCAGCAGGCCTTAAAAACACCAGAACTAGATGTCAAGACTAGAACTGGACACTTCAGAGCACTGACAATTGGGGTCAGGCAAGCAGAAGCACAGGAGAGGCAGAGGGAGAGGACACAACCACATCTAAGAAATGCAGAATGACAGCCAAGGAAACAGGGCAGTATGGAAACAGCAACAAAGTGGGTGAGCAAGGGAGACAGACAGAGCTCAGGAAGCACTTAGCACCCTGCAACCTTCAAGCCACCATTCTCACAAGAGGGGTGGCAGTAGTAGCTGACCGCCAGGGATGAGGGCTCCTGGGAGAATGGTGAGGGCGAAGTTGATGGCTTCTCTAGTTGTTCCTCGGGGGTCACAGAGCCTATCTTACCCTAAAGGCAGTGGTTACCCTAGTTCTCAAGGGTCAAGGGAGATATTACCTAGAGGTCAAAATCTTGGTGATGACAGAGACCTTCACTGTCAATCTGGCAGGAGGCAGGACACTGGTATCTAGTGGGAGGAGATCAGTGATGCCCTGAACACTTTATTCTATTCTCATAGCAAAGAATAGCCTGGCTGAAGCCTGAAGGAGTGAGGAATATGGGGAAGACAGGGGAAGTATGGCCTCTACTGCAAAATTCAAGAAACTGAATGATCACTTAAAAAAAATCAAGTACATGACAGAAAATGACTGAGATATTTGTTTCCACAAATACCTCCAGCCAGCAAGAATCAGCAGAAGTATACTTACGAGCTCTGAGTCACTGTCACTTGAGGCAAATAGGAAGGAATGTGTTCGTTGAGATGGTCCACATCTTTAAATTCTTCTTCAAGAGATGCACAGAGTTCCTAGATTTTAAAAATGCTTGTGAACAAGACATCTTCCTCCACATGTGATGTGTGACGTAAGACACAAGGCTCAGGAAGGACCAATGTTACTCAGTCCTTGGAAGTGCCAAATGCAGCAACACAAGGCTGTCCCTAGAGGATGGCATTTTTCTCTACTGCGTTTTCTTTTTTAGAGAACAAGCACTAACCAATCACATTATAATTGTGACGCTGAAATGAAGTTTAAGTCTTTTCCAAACATGTTAGCCTTGGGAAGCAACTAAGAAACGGATGAACCACTGATGGTTTTCAATTTAGCAAATTGCTCTTAATGAGTTAGCACACACACACACACCCTCCCCCCAATGTAGCCTCTACAACAGAACCAGAGCGAGAAAGTTAACCCAGGTGAGAGGTGTTTTTCATGTTTCTGAATTTTGAGTTTTACGTTTAGGTTTTTTGTTTGGCGTGTCTCAGTGTCTGTGGGTGGGTGTCTGTGTACAGTGTGTGTACAGTGTGGGAGTGCATACAGCATGTGGAGGTGGATGTGTCCAGTGTGTATGTACGCAGTGTGCATTTTATTTAATTTCTACTAGAATCTAGGACAAAGAGCTAACTCATGCAGAGAGAAAGCTTCCTGCCCCCTGCCTCTCAATCATCATGCGACCAGACTTCATGTCCCAGGTGAACACACTCTGGGCTACCATCTACACCCTGAGTTCCAGGAAAGATGAAAACTGACAGACCAATTCTCTTCTCCATTTTGAATCTATGACATTTTTCTTTTCAAGAAGTAAATTATGTTCATGGCCACTCTTTTCAGCTGGAGATTACATTAAGCTTAATTATGCCCACTACTAGAGCTGAAGTCTTCTCAGACAAGGACTGCCGGCTGGAGGGGGCCTTGAAGGCTCCCTTTTCAAGCTCATTGAGAACTACAATGGTCCAACATGAGATAATCCCGGTGCAAACTGTTTTCCTCATTAGAAAGCACACAAACGCTCTTATTAGCTCAAGTTATTAGGAGACATACTTAGAACAAAACACTCATCTGAGTGAAGTTTAAGCTTTGCTTTAATGAAGTGTCCCGAAATTTTATAAAAATGAGGAAACAGGGTAGCTAAGAAACAGTTATTATTCTTCAAATGAGAACCCTGAGACCACAGAGGTGACATGGCTTTCTCAGGGTGGCAAAGAAGACCAAGGTGCTGACCCACGTCTCGTGCAAGGCAGTTGTTCTCACTCAGCATTCCCCCAAGGTATCATTTGTTTATATTAAACCTACACAGAATTCTTTAGGAAATTCACTTTTTAGTAAAGTTCTGTGCTACTGGCCATTGGCATGAAGAAAGAAATGGCTGTCATTCTTAATTTCGTTATGTTGAGAACACAATGTTACTTTATAGACTAATAGTTTACAAAGTCATAAATGTTACAAAGAATCCTTACAAATGACCTGGTGATTAGGGTTTCTGGGTTCATTACCTTCTCTTTTCACGTTAGGAAAGCATTACCTTGAGTGAACTGTTCGTTTGTTCTTGATACTGAATTTCCAATTCAAACTTATTTAGAAGCTCATTTACTGTAATGATCTCATCCCCTATTTTACTTAAGGTGGTCTTCAAGGCAGGGTCTTGGCCTATTATAAAAAGAAAATGGAAAGCAAAGTATATATAAAACTCAAACATACATGTCTCACGTGAACTCCTGGAACAGACACCTACAACTCAGAAAGACATTTGAGTGGAAAAAGGACAAATTCTTCATTAAGACCTGTCCTCATAGCTGGGCGGTGGTGGTGCACGCCTTTAATCCCAGCACTTGGGAGGTAGAGGCAGGCGGATTTCTGAGTTCCAGGCTAGCCTGGTCTACAGAGTGAGTTTCAGGACAGCCAGGGCTACACAGAGAAACCCTGTCTCGAAAAACTAAACCAAAACAAAAAAACAAAGACCTGTCCCCATAAGTAATCTTAAATTGTCTGTCTTGTTTTGTTGTTCATGTATGACAAGCTCTTGCTCTGCAGTAGCCCAGGTTGACGTGGAACTTATATCCCTCTGCCTTGGCTTCTACAGTGCAGGGCTTACAGGTGTGTGCCACTAGGCCTGGCCTACCTTTCATTTCCAAATAGTATGGAAAAGAAGGAAATGAGAGGCAAGCCCAAAGTGTTTCCTGCAGCTTTTATTTCTGGCAAATTCCTTCAATACAATAAAATCATTAGAAATAATAAACAGCCTTATATAGGTCTAGCTGAGTATCCATCAGAAAGAGGCAATTCTTCCCAGGCTCCGACATGAGCTGGGACTCACAGACACCAGGCAGGGCATATGAGCAGAGGCTACAACAAGCCCAGTCAGTACATGTGGAGGAATGCTAGCGAGGAGGCTTCTGGTCTCAGTGACTACATACCCATAGTAAAGAATTGACTATACTATGGATAAGATCCAATGACTTTTGAGGCCTCAAACCACAGGGTGTTAGAAGTGAAAATTTCAAATGAGGCTGTTACCTATTTAAGGGGACAAATTCTTTTTTGTGGGGTTAATGGGGGTGAGACAGGGTTACTCTATGTAACCCAGGCTGTCCTGGAACTCATTCTGTAGACATGGCTGGCCTCAAATTCAGAGATCCACCTGTCTCTGCCTCCCAAGTGCTGGGACTAAAGGCATGTGCCACAACACCTAGCCAGAGGACATATTCTTAAGGAAAATCTGAAAAACTTCAATTGCCAGGGAGATAAACTTATGTTTGGACTGCCCTTCAAGTGTGTTTGTATAGAGAAGGTGGGCCTGAAGAGACTAGCAGCTGGCTTTGGGAATTTGTAATATGTTTGCAATGCATCCTCGCTAGTCAAAACCCTTAACCAGAGAAACGACAACCAAAAACTGCAGACTGGTGAAAACCCTGGGGGCCAGGAAAGAAGCAAAGACAAGATGTTTATATTTATAAACAGCATGTCTACACTTCTTGTACCACTTAGCACCTCTCTAAATTCATAGATCTGTGAGGGACTGGAAAACCTCAAGTTCCCTCCTCCTTACAAATACAAGTGACTTAGAACCAGCAAGATGGCTCAGAAGGTAAGGGCACCTACTGCCCAGCCTAACTAACAACTTTGTTTTGATCACGGTGGAAGAAAAGGAGCAACTCCCACAAGCTCACACACTAAATATGTAAGTAAACAAAATATAATAAAACACTGTTTTAAGAATAACTTTGGGCCAGGGAATGGTGGCACACACCTTTAGTCCCAGCACTTGGGAGGCAGAGGCAGGTGGATTTCTGAGTTCAAGGCCAGCCTGGTCTTCAGAGTGAGTTCCAGGACAACCAGGACTATACAGAGAAACCCTGTCTCGAAAAACAAAACAAAACAAACAACAACAAAAGAATAATTTTGAAAGTGTTAAGATCAGTCAGTGTGATTAGGCATACCTATAATCCCAGCACCCAGGAGGCAGAGGCAGGAGAATCTTTGTGAGTTGAAGGCCTACAAAGTTCCAGGACAGCAAGGACTAACTACATAGAGTCAACCTATTGGAAAAAATAAATAAATAAATAAAATAAAACAAAATAAAAAAATCGTATGTGTGCTTCAAACAACCGAAGGATGAAATACAAGTAAGTGAAGAATATCTGAAATTTGATGGTATTTGCTGTGTGGAAGCAGAAGGGACTAGCCATACATTCCTGGCTGAAGTCTGATGTAACAGTAGCTGTTACAGGAAGTGGCTGGAAAGCTTACTATATGAAAGGACAAGAAGACATAAAGATGTAACACTTACTAAATGCCAGTTACTACAGTGCTCTGAGGACTCCTGTCACTCTTATTTTGCATTGCTAATTCTATCTGACACTAAATTTACAACAACTAAAATGAACTGGTAAGTTAATTTCAGAGATTTTTGAGTTTTGTTGTTTTGTTTTTTGAGGGGGCAGTGCAGGGTGGGGGGCTTGGGGATGGGGGGTCTCACTACATAGCTCTGAATTTCCTGGAATTCACTACAAAGACCAAGCTGGCCTTAAACTCTGAGATCTGTCTGCCTCTGCCTCCTGAGTACTAGGATTGTTGGTCCTTATGTCCCAGAAGAATGTGAGTAAAATGAAATATTCACCCATTACTTAACAGCCCCTCTGCATTATTCAAGACAGTCTGGCACTGGAGTGTTTTGAAAAAATAACTACTGGAAACCTAAAATTACATTACGAAGAGACAGCCACAGCACAACAATAATCAAGATGCATTGTATGTATACCTCAAATCTGAGTCTGTTTTGCTTACCAAGATTTCTTATCGACAGAGTTTTCTTAATATTCTCAATCTTCTCATTAACATAAGAGCATAACTGTTCTAGATCTGAGGCCATCCTTTAAGAGTCTAAATAAAACATAGAGAAACGCCTTTAAAAAGAAAGTAAAACCAAATTTCTGTTCACTTTCAATATTTAAAAATATTAACAAGTAAACAACTCTGAAAAGAAAGAACACAATCGTGTTCTCTGTCTCTCTCTCTTTCCCAACTCTACAAAACTCAGTGTCTAACAAATACACAATGGTAACGTGTCTTGGAGGTTCCAGCAAATCCTGGCACCTTAAACCAGAGCTGCCATCTTCCTCTAGGCTGGAGGAACGAAAGGTCCTTGCGAGGGTGAGTGGAAAGGTGCCGATCTGAGCAAGCTTGTCCAATCTTTGGACATCGCGACGCGACATCGTCAAGTTCATGCTTGAGAACCACGCCACGAAGCTACCAAGAACAAAACTGGTAAAGTCAACCCCCTCGTGACAACTCCGATTTTGCGCAGGCCCAGCTTAGCCGCGCCTGGCTGGAACCCGCAGTCGGGGAAGGCGGGGGCCGACCCTCCGCGCCGCCCACTCCCCGAACCTGCTAAGCGATGTCTCCTCGGGCGGCTTCCGAGCCAGAGGCCTCGCGGAGTCTGGAGCGAAGAGCCTGCACTGTGGCTGGGGACCGAGTGCACCAGACAACGACGAGAAACGCCAAATCGTGAAACCAGCTTCCAGAGCCAAAATTCAAACTGTCCGCCGGACCTGTCGCCGCGCAGGCGCACAAAAGTGTTCCCAACAGCGCACACTCCAGAATTTCCGCGGGATCTGTCAGTGTCTGGGCGGGGTCGTGGGCGGGACCTGGGGCGGAGCTAGGACAGGATTGGATGGCTTCTGACGTAGAAGGCTGTCTTTTTGAGCTCGGGCGCTCTCGGGTGAATTCAGTTGGTCATCCTTCTGTGACCACAGCCCAGCTAGAGGCCCAGAGTTCGAGATAACATGAGCAGCTCAAACAGTGGTTCTGGAACCTGCTGCAGAATCACCAGGAGCAGCTTTTCACAAACACCAGGGACTGGGAGCAAATTATGAGCTCAGACACTTAGAGAATGTTTTTTAAAATACTCCCAGATAATTCCAGAAAGCAGTCAAGTTGGTGGTTCTGCCTTTATGGGGATTAGATACTTCAGGGCAGAAGCTAAGGAAATTCACTTCAGATACAGAAGCTTAAAAATGAAAGCTTTATTTTCTGGGTGCTTAGGGAAGCAGCCAGTTCGGGATTTAAACGGTCCGAAGGGAAGTTGTACAACATTTTTAAAGGATGGGAACACAAAGCGAGAGGAGAACTGGGAGGAACTGCAGTGTTAGCCAACTGTGTTTTGGACATTGTGGATTAAGCAAGGGAGTACCCATTGGAGAGTGGGCTATATCCAGGACACCTGGCTTCAGGGTCCTTAATTCATTCTCCTAGACATTAGGTTAGGTGTGGAGCTCAGAGTGATAAGGGGACAAAGGAGCAACTCGGTTCCATGTAGTTAAGGTACAACAGGTTATATATTTTTACAATGTATGCACCTGGGTTTAGATAACAGAAAGTTCTATTTTATTTACCGGTTAACAGACAATTAAAAACATTTGGAAAAGTGGAGTAGGTGTTCATTTCTAGGCCTGGGAACATGAGCTTGTTTGACCCTACCAGCAGATGAAGAAATTGTCTTTGAGATGGCTGGACTCAGACAACTATTTACAACAGAAGCTGTTCAGCTATAGGGAAGTCCCCAGCTCCCCTAGGTCCTGGGACCTTGAATTTAGTTTCTCCCTATGATTAAATGGAGTCTGAAAACAAAATGGTAGTACTTAAAATAATTTCTTTTGCTTGCTTCCGACAATACTCTATAAAGGGCAATACAAACACCAAATTGAAAATTCCAAGCCGGGCAGTGGTGGCCCACGCCTTTAATCCCAGCACTTGAGAGGCAGAGGCAGGTGGATTTCTGAGTTCGAGGCCAGCCTGGTCTACAGAGTGAGGCCCAGGACAGCCAAGGCTGCACAGAGAAACCCTGTCTCGAAAAACCAAAAAAATGAAAAAAAAGAAAAGAAAAAGAAAATTCCAAATGTTTATTATATGAAAGAGAAAGAAGAGGGAATCCTGGGGAGGGAAAGGTTAAGTGGGGATGGGAAGAGATCGAGAGGGGTTAGTCCTACCCAAGTAAGTATGTATGAAATGGGTTTTTAGTCACAGGGACAAAAATGGATACTTAGAGAGAAAGAAACACAGGAAATTTGAGAAAATAATGTCAGGAAACTTCTCAAAACTGGTAAGATCCAAGAGGCCTGTATAGTCAGGGTTCTGCAGAGGAACAAAACTAATACAATGAATCTTTCCTGGTTTAAGCTTTTAAAACCTCAGATGAAGCCCACTCCCTGTGACATTCTTCCCCCAGCAAGGCCACATCTCCTTATCCTTCTCAAATAGTGCCACTTCCTGACTAAGCTTGGTCAGGGTGTGGTCAGGGGACATGTTTATTCAAACCACCACATTCCAATCACTGGCACCAGTAGGTTTATGATATCAAAATGAAATGTATTCAATCTAACTTCAAAAGTTCCCATAATCTTTCACAGTCTCAACACTGTTTTAAAAGTCCAAAGTTCAAAGTATCTGAGACAAATAGTAATCTCTTAACTGTAACCCGTTGTAAAATAAAAACAAAAAAGAATAAATCACATACTTCTCACATATAATGGCGTAGAATACGCATTACCACTCTAAATGAAAAGCATAGTGAAGAAATATTAGATCAGAGCAGTACCTAAAACCAGCAGGGAATAAAACCAGCAGGAAACAGGAAGTGGAACATCTGGCAGGGATAGAGAGAATTCTGGGAAATAGCCAGAGGTGAGAGAGATTCACCTTGGAAACAGTGAGGAGAGGGACAAAAGAAGAGAGGAGAGGAAACCACCCACATAACTGAACTCAGCTTAGAATTAAAGGGATAACAGAGCCATGAGCTAGTCCGAGAACAAGCTGAAGCCTATGGCCTAAGCATTATTAGTTAAATAGTTAAATATCAAATAATTAAAGAGTAGTTATTTCAGGGAACAAAGAAGCCTGGGTGGAAAAGCCCAGAAGTAACACAAGTTGACAACCAAGAATAGCCATCCCAAAACTTAAGGGACTAAGTTATCTCAAGTCAAAGCAATCTATACAAAAACTCAATTTGTCCTTTTTACTATTTATTATTTTAAAAATATGTTTCTGGGTATACGTATGTATCTGTGTAGAGTGTGTGCACGTGACTCCAGGAGCCTGAAAAGTCTTGAAGAGGATGTCCTATCCTGTCTTAGTCAGTGTTCTATTGCTGTAAAAAGACACCGTGACTATGGCAACTCTTATTGAAGACAATATTTAAATGGAGTTTGCTTCCAGTTTCAGAAGTTTAGTTCAATATCCTCATACCTGGGAACATGGCAACACACAGGCAGAGATGGTAGCTGAGAGTTCTACATCTGGATCTGCAGGCAGCAGGAGGAGACAGACCGGGCTTGGAATGGGCTATTTGAAACCTCAAAATCCACCCCAGTGACACACTTCCTTTAACAAGACCACACGTCCTAATCCTTTCTAATAGGGCTACTTCTTGGTGACCAAGCATTTAAAACCAAGAGCCTCTGGGAGCCATTCACATTCAAACTATTCAAACTTCAGATCCATGAAGCCACCCAACATAAAGGAGTGCAGGGAATTCACTGAAAAGGACCACTCCAAGGGTAGAGAAATGTTTATTGGGGAATAAACTGACAGGACATCTCATGAGGGTGGAGAATAGCAGTTTAGCAGAGGAAACAAGTAGGTTTTATAGGGTTTCTAAAAGCTTAGGTATAGATCCCTCCTTCAGGAAATTTTTCCTTTCTTGGGTCCCTAAGGCAAGCCTGCTGGGAGGGAATCTGTGCCCGACTCAATCAGGCCAGGTTATGGGAAATAGATATCCTTTTATGTGTAGCAGATAGCCCTTTAGGGAAGAATGAAGAAACTTCAGTTTTCTGATGAGGTCCCCGAGACACAGGGCATCCTGGATAGTTTTATGTCTACTTGACACAAGCTAGTGTCACCTGAAAGGAAGGAACCTCAACTGACAAAATGTCTCCATAAGATCCATCTTTAAAGAGTGTGAGAGAGCAGGCCCCAGAGGGTGAGCTCTGGAGAGCTGGTCCCACCCCTCCCAGAGGTGGTGCTAGAGACTTAGCCTCTGCTCCCATCCCCACCCCCACCCTTGTCTGGGCAGCATGAGGGAGCTGGTCCTGAAGACACGGGCACAAGAAAATGGCCCCACCCCTTGATGACTGTAACATTCAGGAAAAAAGCCACACACACACCTTGCGTTGGCAGTGTGGTAGAACTAGTCCTGGTGGTGTAAGCAAGGGAGAGCTGCTGGCCCTGGTGGTGTGGGTGCAGGAGAGTCAGTTTTGTTTTTTACCAGCTGCTGCAGGCAGGAGAGCTGACCCTGCTCCTACTTGGGCAAAGCAGAAGAGCTGGCCTCTAGTGGCCCAGACACAGGAGAGCTGGCGGGCTGACCAACTCAGCTACCACCCAGGCCCAGATCCAAGGCTTTGAGCTGGCCCACCCCAACCATCTACCCCATCTATGAGCTGCTGGAGTGCATGAAGCGGCGTGTCCTGTGGATCGAAAGCTGCAGGATCTCCATGACCCAGGGAAACAATGAGATGTCCAAGAGAAGTCCCAGTGAGGAGCCTGGGACTGATAGTGTAGCCGAAGCCAGAGGTATCAAACCAGATCAATGACTCTTTGCAATGAACATTTGCAAATAAAGCTGTTTGGGACAAAGGAGATACTGTGTGACACATGGGGACATACCACAGTTTCTACAATGAGGTGTTATGTAATTCTTTTTAATTCTTTTAAATTTTGCTTTGTTTTCTTTTGGGTGGAAGTTTGTGAGAGTAAAGGGCAGATATGGAGGAAGGAGAAGATGAATGGGATTGGGGTGCATGAGGTGAAATTCACAAAGAATAAATTAAAAAAAATTAAATCCCTCTGTAAGGCATTGTAACAGCCATTTCTTTTGTAACTGCCGGTTCTGCTACTTTGTAATGGCCTGTACTGCTGCTCTGGTCTGCAGGTCAGGGTCTAGCAAGAGAGAGAGTGGGGACGGAGGAAGGGCGAAAGAGGGGTGAGAGACGCAAAAGATAGATACAAGACAGAGTCTGGTCAAGTCTCTTCAAATCTCTTCTTTATTCTCCTTTATTCTTCTATATTCTCCTCTATAGAAAGGAAATCTTGGGTATTGATACTCTTTACCACGTGACTTGCCCTCGTGGACAAGCTCAACTGACGGAACTACGTCATGTGCCTTGTAGCCATGGATACCAGGTGCACCTTGCAGCTGGGGGCACTAAACAGTGTAACAAGATGTTTATCAGAGTGTGCTCAGCTGTTGCGGGCTGTTGAAAACAAGTCTCTTGTCAGGGTATATGGCTCGAGATGGCTGTAAAGATGATAGCGGCTAAGAGTCGGCTCCCAACAAGGCATTTTCTTAAGTAGTGATTGATAGAGAAGGGCCCAGGCCATTGTGAGTGATGATATCCCTGGACTGATGGATCTGGATTCTATAAGCAAACAGGGTGAGCAAAGCCATAAGGAGCTAGCCAGCAAGCAGTGCCCCTCCATGGCGTCTGCATCAGCTCCTGCCTCCAGGTGCCTGTCCTGTCTTTCTTCAGGAGTGGACTGAAGCTGAAATGTAAGCGTTCTATGGAAAGTCAGTTGGA